CCCCCTTCTTAATAACACAAGACCCGAAAAAACTCCAGTAGTCCCGCCGGGCCTTAATAAAAAACAAGGGCAGAAAAACTCCAAATAGTTCCCCAAAGGCAGGGCCCCTTTTTTTAAAACCAAAAAAAAAGGGGGGGGGCAGAAAAAAAAACCCAGTTTTTCAAGCAGGAAAACCTTAATAACACAAGAAGAATACCCCCATAGTTTAAACAGGAAACCCTTTAAAAACCCCAAACGAAAACCCAGTAGTCAAACTAACCCCTTAAAAAACAAGAAAATACCCGTAGTCAAGGGAGGGAAAACCCCCCTTTAAAAACACAAGAAAGAATACTCCCCGAGGGAAGCAGGACCCCTTTAAAACACAAGAAGAAAAACCCAGTAGTCAAGCAGGACCTTAAAAAACAAAAAGAAGGGAAACCCCAGTATCCCAAACAGGAAAACCTTTTAAAAACACAAGACAAAAAAAATAAATCCAAAGGGCAAGAGGGGGCCCTTTAAAAACACAAGACAAAAAATACTCCAGTAGTCAAGGGAAAAAACCTTAATAAAAAACAAGGGCCCGAATTCCCCCAGTAGTCCAAACAGGAAACCTTAATAACACAAAAAAAAAACTCCAGTAGTCAAAAGAGGAACCTTAATAACAAAAAGACAGGAAATACTCCAGAGTCAAAGGACCTTAATAACACAAGACCGAAATTAAAATCCCCGTAGTCAAGCCCGGAAAACCAATTTAAAACAAGAAAAATTTCCCATAGTCAAGCAGGGGAAACCCTTAAAAAACACAAGACAGAAAACTCCAGTAGTCAAGGGAGGAAAACCCTTAAAAACACAAGCAGAAAAAACCCAGTTTCAAGCCGGACCTTTTAAAAAACACAAGGGCAGAATACTCCATAGTCCCAAACGGGGGCCTTAATAAAACAAGACCGAATACTCCCGTAGTCAAGCAGGACCCTTAATAACAAAAACAAAATACTCCAAATAGTCAAGCAGAAACCTTAAAACACAAGGGCCCCAAAAACTCCAGTAGTCCCAAACAAAAGGGCCTTTTAAATTTTAACACCCAAAAAAAACTCCAAAATTCCAAAGCAGGACCCCTTAAAAACACAAAACAAAAATACTCCCTAGTCCCAAACCCAAAACCCTTTTAAAAACACAAGAAAAGAAAAACCCAGTAAATTTAAGTAAGGAAAAAACCTTTAAAACCCCAAGAAAGAAAACTTTCCCGTAGTCCAAACGGGGGCCTTTAAAAAACACAAGACAAAATACTCCAGTAGTCAAGCGGAAAAAAAAACCTTAAATAAAAACCCCAAAACAGTACCCAGTAGTCAAGAAAAACCCCTTTAAAAACACAAACAGAATAAAATCCAGTAGTCCCCAAACAGGACCCTTTAATTTCCCCAAGACAAAAACTCCAGTAGTCAAGGGAGGGACCCCCTTTAAAAACACAAGGAAAAGTACTTTCCCGTAGTCCAAACAGGACCCCTTTAAAAAACACAAGACAGAATACACCAGTAGTCAAAACAGGACCTTAATTTAAAAACAAGACAGAAAACTCCAGTAGTCAAACAGGAAACCTTTTAAAAAACAAGGGCAGAATACCCAGTAATTAAAACAGGACCTTTAAAAACACAAGAAAGAAATACTCCCAGTAGTCCCAAACAAAAAACCCCAATAACACAAGAAAAAAAACTCCCCGTAGTCAAGCGGACCTTTTAAAAAACACAAACCGAATACTCCGTAGTCAAGCCGGAAACCCTTTAAAAACAAAAAGAAGAATACTCCAGTAGGCCCAAACAGGCCCTTTAAAACAAAGACAAAATACTCCAGTAGTCAAGCAAAAGGAAAAACCCTTTAAAAACACAAACAGAATACTCCAGGGAGTCAAGAGGGCCTTTTTTTACACAAGAAGAAAATCCAGTAGCAAGCAGGACCTTTAAAAAACACAAGACAAAAATACTCCAGTAGTCCCCAAGGGAGGAACCCAAAAAAAAACACAAAAAACAAAAAACTCCCGTAGTCAATAGGAAAACCCTTTAAAAACACAAGACAGAAAAAACCCCTTTTTCAACAGGAAAAACCCTTTAAAAAACACAAGACCGAAAAAAAGAAAAAAAAAAAAAAAAAAAAAAAAAAAGAAAACCCAAAAAAAAAAGAAAAAAAAAAAAAAAAACAAAAAAAAAAGGAAAAAAAAAAAGAAAGGGAAAAAAAAAAAAAAAAAAAAAAAAAAAGGGCCAAAAAAAAAAAAAATACTCCAGATCAAGCAGGAAACCCTTTAAAAACACAAATACCAAAAAAAAAAAAACCCGAAAAAAAAACCAAAAAAAACCAAAAAAAAAAAACAAAAAAACCCCCAGTAGTCAAGCAGGAACCCCTTTAAAAAACACAAGACAGAATAAAAACCCGTTCAACCCGGACCCTTTAAAAAACCCCAAGACAGAATCCCCCCAGTAAGGGCCCCAAAAGGGGCCCCTTAAAAAACACAAGACAGGAAAACTCCAGTGTCCCAACAGGACCCCCCTTTAAAAACACCAAACAGAATACCCAGTAGTCCGAAGGGGGAAACCCTTTTTAAAAACACAAGACAAATTTCTCCATTTGGGCCCAAACAGGAAAATTTTAAAAACCCCAAGACAGAAAACCCAGTTTTCAACCCGGGCCTTAAAACAACCCCAAAAAAGAAAAAACTCCAAATATCAAGCAGGACCTTTTAAAAACACAAGAAAAGAAAAACTCCAGTAAAAAAACAAGCAGGAACCCCCTTTAAAAAACAAGACAGAAAAACTCCCTTAAATCAAGCAGGAAACCTTTAAAAAAACAAGACAGAAAAACTCCCGTAGTCAGCAGGGCCCCTTTAAAAAACAAAAAGACAGAATAAATCCATTTGTCCCAAACAGGACCTTTAAAAACAAAAAGACAGAATCCCAGAAATAAGAAGGGCCCCTTTAAAAACACAAGACAAAAATAACCCCCAGTAAGGGCAAGCAGGACCAAATAAACCAAGACAGAACACTTCCCTAAATCCCAAACAGGAAAACCTTAAAAACACAAGAAAAGAATACTTTTCCCCCTATCAACAGGAAACCTTTAAAAACACAGACCCGAATACTCCAGTAGTCAAGCAGGGCCCTTTAAATTAAAACAAAAAAAAGAAAAAAAAAAAAGAAAAAAAAAAAACAAAAAAAAAGAAACCCCCCCAAAAAAAAAAGGGAAAAAAAAAAAAAAATAAAAACCAGAGGGCCCAAAACAAAGGTTTTCCCCTTTAAAAACACAAGACGAATACTCCCGTAGTCCAAGGAAAGGGCCTTAATTAAAAACAAGACAGGAAAAAACTCCAGTAGGGCAAGCAGGAACCCCTTTAAAAAAACACAAACGAATACTCCCTTTGTCCCAAACGAAAAATTTAAAAACACAAGGACAAATAAACCCCGGGAGTTTAAGCGGGAACCCCTTTAAAAAAAAAGACAGAATACTCCCCGTAGTCAAGAGGACCTTAAAACACAAACAGAAAAACTTTCCCTATTTAAAACAGGGCCCTTTAAAAAACCAAGACAGAAAAACTCCAGTAGTCCCCGCAGGGACCTTAATTTTTACAAAAAGAAAACCCAGTATTTAAACAGGAACCCTTTAAAAACCCAAAACAGAAAAACTCCAGTTTGGGCAAGCAACCTTAAATAAAAAACAAACAGGGAAAACCCCAAAGTCCAAACAGGACCTTAATAACACAAGCCCGAATAAAACCCCTTGTCAAGCTGACCTTAATTTAAAAACCCCAAGGGCAGAAACTCCCGTATCAAACCCGGACCTTTTAAAAACACAAGACCCGAATACTCCCCCGTAGGGCAAGCAGGAAACCTTTAAAAAACACCCAAAACAGAATACCCAGAAGTCCAAACAGGGCCCCCTTTAAATTTACACAAGACAGAATACTCCAGTAGTCAAGCAGGACCTTAATAACACAAGACAGAATACTCCAGTAGTCAAGCAGGACCTTAATAACACAAGACAGAATACTCCAGTAGTCAAGCAGGACCTTAATAACACAAGACAGAATACTCCAGTAGTCAAGCAGGACCTTAATAACACAAGATACAATACTCCAGGAGTCAAGTAGGACCTTAATAACACAAGATACAATACTCCAGGAGTCAAGTAGGACCTTAATAACACAAGATAGAGCTCAACATCACACTGTACAGATTAATCTGGAACTCGGTGCATATACCTGTCTACTTTCGACTAGTAAACGTCTACAACCACGTTGTAACTAGTAACTAGTAACACAAGCAGTAATAAACGGTTGAAACAAGGATCATTCTATGTACGGGTTGTGTATTCTTCCACTCACATTACTGTGCCTTAATTTTAAATACTCTAGGCCTACGGATATAAGGCCGCTTCATTTTTCACATCTTATTTCTACTGTGATGGTCAACTCATCCCTGGGAACAAATTAAACTCGTTGTAATCATAACAAATATTAAACGAGTGGAATGGGTGACCCATGGAAGGCCTCGGTTCCAGATGACGAAAACTCCAGCGCTGGTTATCATTGACCTGGGGGCTGATACCTCCAGGGAATCCATAGTTAAACACACACACACACACAAACACACACACAAAACACACCACACCACACACACACATAATTATCTGGTTAATTTTGTTAATTTATACACATTTCTGTTTGTATTTTAAAATAATTTAATATGTTATATGATTTAACCATGTTCCGGTATTTTGTTTAGATTTACATGCATATTGTGATGTGTGTGTTGTGTGTGTGTGTGTGTGTGTGTGTTGTGGTGTGTGTGTGTTGTGTGGTGGTTGGCGCGTGTCCATGCCCTACACTTCCCTGTGACCCCCTACGAGAGGTCACAGGGGGAAACCCTACCCTCGACCGCGAAGCCAGGCCAGGCCAGGCCAGACTTCACTGATGCCCCGATCAAGCAGCCTGTTGATGCTAGCGGGCCGCAGATCAAACAGAGTTTTCCAGGACTCACCGTTTCTCCCGTGGTCACGATGGCAGGTTCCGAAGGTGGTCCCCGACCGATCTTATTCACGGCCAACACATGGAATTCGTACTCAGTGAACGGAGTCAGATCTGCCAACACAAATATACCAAATCAGCATCACTAAAATATACAACACTAAAATAGGTTTATATACATAATTGGTAATGGGTATATACATCACTAAAATAGGCATATACATCACGAAAAAAAGGTATAGACATCACTAAGCATAATCACGAAAATAGGCATATACATCACGAAAATAGGTATATATATATATATTTTATATATATATATATATATAATAATATATAAAATATATAAAATATATAAAATATATATATTTTGTGTGTGTGTGTGTGTGTGTGTGTGTGTGTGTGTGTGTGTGTGTGTGCAAATAATCGCAGACAGGCGATCTTAACTATGTAGGACAACCCACGGGGGGGAGGGAATCTCCAGCTCGAGTACTCTCACTTCTCTCAGTGCGTCATCAGGAGCTGTGCAATGTTGCAAGGGAGCAACCAAAGCAAAGGGGAGGAGGTGTCTCAGAGTAGCGTAGGTGTCACCGTTTCCACGATAAGGTAGGTGTCACCGTCCACGGTAAGGTAGGTGTCACCGTCCACGGTTAGGTAGGTGCCACCGTCCACGGTTAGGTAGGTGCCACCGTCCACGGTAAGGTAGGTGCCACCGTCCACGGTAAGGTAGGTCCACCGTCCATGGTAAAAGGGAGGTGTCACCGTCCACGGTAAGGTAGGTGTCACCGTCCACGGTAAGGTAGGTGCCACCGTCCACGGTAAGGTAGGTGTCACCGTCCATGGTAAGGTAGGTGTCACCGTCCACGGTAAGGAAGGTGTCACCGTCCCGGTAAGGTAGGGGTCACCGTCCACGGTAAGGTAGGTGCCACCGTCCACGGTTAGGGTAGGTGCCACCGTCCACGGGGAAAGGGAGGTGCCACCGTCCACGGTAAGGTAGGTGGGCACCGCCCGGTAAGGTGTCACCGTCCACGGTAAGGTAGGTGTCACCGCCACGGTAAGGTAGGTGCCACCGTCCACGGTTTTGGTAGGGGCCACCGTCCACGGTAAGGTAGTGTCACCGTCCACGGTAAGGTAGGGTTCACCGTCCACGTAAGGTAGGTGTCACCGTCCACGGTAAGGTAGGTGCCACCGTCCACGGTAAGGTAGGTGCCATCATCCACGGTAAGGTAGGTGCCACCGTCCACGGTAAGGTAGGTGCCACCGTCCACGGTTAGGTAGGTGCCACCGTCCACGGTAAGGTAGGTGTCACCGTCCACGGTAAGGTAGGTGTCACCGTCCACGGTTAGGTAGGTGTCACCGTCCACGGTAAGGTAGGTGCCACCGTCCACGGTAAGGTAGGTGTCACCGTCCAAGGTTAGGTAGGTGCCACCGTCCACGGTTAGGTAGGTGTCACCGTCCACGGTTAGGTAGGTGCCACCGTCCACGGTTAGGTAGGTGTCACCGTCCACGGTAAGGTAGGTGCCACCATCCACGGTAAGGTAGGTGCCACCGTCCACGTAAGGTAGGGCCACCGTCCCCCGGTAAGGTAGGTGTCACCGTCCCGGTAAGGTAGGTGTCACCGTCCACGGTAAGGTAGGTGCCACCGTCCACGGTTAGGTAGGTGCCATGTGGTATAGGGTAGTACTCAGTGACATGTGGTACAGGGCAGTGGTAGTCCAGTTCGATAAAGACGATCTACAGCACATCGACTACAGCACCAGACGAGCCTGGTCCATGGCCGGGCTCAGAGAGTAGATATACTCTCGAAACTCTTCAAAGGTAAGGTATATCATGCCAACTGCTTCACTGACCGTAATCATCAGCTCCCCCAAAGAAAGCAGGAACACTGCATCAGGCCTACTGGCCCATGTGAGGCAGGTCCAAGTCTCCTACCGGCTTAAGTCAATGTCCCAACCTAGTCAGGTCAGGTCACATTCACCTAAGGAAGGTGCACGGCATCCGGTGACCTCTGAGCGTTGCTTGCGAGGTCACCAGACCCAATCTCAATTCTCTGATACGATTATATTCCTTGTAATCCGTGGATTTAGGAGCCTGGTGGATTGGCTAATCCCTAATGTCTGAGTCTCTCTCCAACACGCAACCAATCCCTCTGATTAACCAATCCTTGGTGCATAAAACAGCCCAAACACGCTACCAATCCCACTAAGCCAACACGCTACCAATCCCTACCGTCTGAACCAACACAACACACTACCAATCCCTGGAGTTTACCTGGAGAGAGTTCCGGGGGTCAACGCCCCCGCGGCCCGGTCTGTGACCAGGCCTCCTGGTGGAACAGAGCCTGATCAACCAGGCTGTTGCTGCTGGCTGCACGCAAACCAACGTACGAGCCACAGCCCGGCTGGTCAGGAACCGACTTTAGGTGCTTGTCCAGTGCCAGCTTGAAGACTGCCAGGGGTCTGTTGGTAATCCCCTTTATGTATCCTGGGAGGCAGTTGAACAGTCTCGGGCCCCTGACACTTATTGTATGGTCTCTTAACGTGCTAGTGACACCCCTGCTTTTCATTAGGGGGATGTTGCATCGTCTGCCAAGTCTTTTGCTTTCGTAGTGAGTGATTTTCGTGTGCAAGTTCGGTACTAGTCCCTCTAGGATTTCCAGGTGTATATAATCATGTATCTTTTCCCTCCTGCGTTCCAGGGAATACAGGGGTTTTGGAACCTCAAGCGCTCCCAGTAATTGAGGTGTTTTATCTCCGTTATGCGCGCCGTGAAAGTTCTCTGTACATTTTCTAGGTCGGCAATTTCACCTGCTTGAAAGGTGCTGTTAGTGTGCAGCAATATCCAGCCTAGATAGAACAATGACCTGAAGAGTGCATCATTGGCTTGGCATCCCTAGTTTTGAAGGTTCCCATTATCCATCCTGTCATTTTTCTAGCAGATGCGATTGATACAATGTTATGGTCCTTGAAGGGGAGATTTCCCCCGACATGATCACTCCCCGGTCTTTTGACGTTGGTGTTTCGCTCTATTTCGTGGCCAGAATTTGTTTTTTACTCTGATGAAGATTTAATTTCCTCATGTTTACCACATCTGAGTAATTGAAATTTCTCATCGTTGAACTTCATATTGTGTTCTGCACCCACAGAAAGATTTGGTTGATGTCCGCCTGGAGCCTTGCAGTGTCTTGCAATGTCCTGCCTGGAGCCTTGCAGGTCTGTCAATGTCTGCCTGGAGCCTTGCAGTGTCATGCACTGTTTGCCTGGAGCCTTGGCAGTGGTCTGCAATGTTCTACCTGGAGCCGTGCAGTGTCTGCAATGTTTTGCCCTGAGCCTTGCAGTGTTCCTGCATGTCCTACCTGGAGCCTTGCAGTGTCTGCAAATGTCTGCCTGCGGCCTTGCAGTGTCTGCAATGTTTGCCTGGAGCCTTGCAGTGTCTGCAAGGTCTGCTGAGCCGTGCAGTGTCTGCAATGTCTGCCTGGAGCCTTGCAGATTCTGCAATGTCTGCTGGACCTTGCAGGTCCTCCAATGTTTTGCCTGGAGCTTGCAGGTCCTGCAATGTCTACCATGGAGCCTTGCAGTGTCCAATGTTTGCCTGGAGCCTTGCAGTGTCGGAATGTCGACCTGGACCTTGCAGTGCTGCAATGTCTACATGGGGCCGTTCATGTCTGCAATGTCCTACCTGGAGCAATTGGCATGTCTGCAATGTGCTGCCTGGAGCCTTGCAGTTCTGCAATGTCTGCCTGGAGCCGTGCAGTGGTCTGCAATGTCTACCTTGAGCCTTGCATGTCTGCAATGTTCTGCCTGGAGCCTTGCAGTGTCTGCCAAGAGCAAGCGAAAATTGTCCTACCTGAGCCTGCAGTGTCCTGCAATGTCCTACCGTGAGCCTTGCAGTGTTCTGCAATGTCCTGCCTGGAGCCTTGCAGGGTCTGCAATGTCTACCTGGAGCCGTGCAGTGTCTCAATGTCGGCCTGACCTTGCAGTGTCTGCAATGTCTACCTGGAGCCGCTTGCAGTGTCTGCCAGTCTGCCTGAGCCTTGCAAGTGTCTGCAATGTCTACCTGGAGCTTGCAGTGTCTGCAAATGTCTACTCTGGAGCCCTTGGCAGAGGCTGCAATGTCTACCTGTACCTTGCAGTGTCTGCACTGTCCGCCTGGAGCCTTGCAGTGTCCCAGCAATGTCTTACCTGGAGCCTTTGCAGTGTCTGCAATGTCGACCTGAGCCTTGGCAGTGTCTGCAATAGCGTCTACTGAGCCTTGCAGTGTCTGCAATGTCTAATCTGGAGCCTTGCAGTGTCTGCAATGTCTGCCTGGAGCCTTGCATGTCTGCAATGTCTACCTGGAGCCTTGCAGTGTCTGCAATACTACCTGGAAGCTTGCAGTGTTGCAAAGTCTGCCTGGATGCCTTGCAGTGTCTGCAATGTCTACCTGGGAGCCTTGCAGTGTCTGCAATGTCTACTGGAGCCTTGCAGTGTCTGCAATGTCTTACCTGGATCCTTGCATGTCTGCAATGTCGTACCTGAGCCCGTGCAGTGTGTGCAATGTCTCCTGGGAGTCTTGCAGTGTCGCAATGTTCCTGCCTGGAGTCTTGCAGTGTCTGCAATGTTCTGCTGGAGTCTGCAGTGTCCTGCAATGTCCCAACCTGAGCCTGCATTTGTCTGCAATTTTTGCTCTGCCTGGACCTTGCAGTGTCTGCAATGTCCCTGCCGGAGCCTGGCAGTGTCTGCGAATGTCTACACCTGGAGCCTTGCAGTGTCTGAATGCTACCTGGAGCCTTGCAAGTGTCCTGACAATGTCTGCCTGTAGCCCCCGTTGCAGTGTCTGCAATGTTCTGCCTGGAGTCTTGCAGTGTCTGCAATGTCTCTACCTGGTGCCTTGCATTCGCCTGCAAATGTCCTGCCTGAGCCTTTGCCATGGTCTGCAATGTCCGGCCTGGAGCCTTGCAGTGTCTGCAATGTCTAACCTGAGCCTTGCAGGTGTCTGCAATGTCTACCTGGAGCCTTTGCAGTGTCTGCAAAGTCTACCTAGAGCCTATGCGTGTCCTGCAATGGCTGCCTGAGCCTTGGCAGTGGTCTCAATTGTCTAACCTGGAGCTTGCAGAGTCTGCAATGGTCTGCCTGAGCCTTTGCAGTGTCTGCAATGTCTGCCTTGGAGTCTGCAGTGCGTCCTGCAATGTCTGCTGGAGTCTTGCAACTGTCCTGCAATGTTCTGCCTGGAGTCTAGCATGTCTGCAATGTCTGCCTGGAGTCTTGCAGTGGCTGCAATGTCGCCTTGAGCCTTGCAGAGTGTCTGCAAGTCTGCCTGGATCTTGCAGTGTCTGCTAATGTCCTACCTGGAGCCTTGCAGTGGTCGGCATTGTCTACCTGGAGCCTTGCAGTGTCTGCAATGTCTACCTGGGCCTTGCAGTCTGTCTGCAATGTCTGCCTGGAGCCTTGCTGTGTCAGCAATGTCTCCTGAGCCTTGCAGTGTCTGCTATTCTACCTGGAGGCCGTTGCAGTGTCCTGCAATGTCTGCCTGACCTTGCAGTGTCTGCAATGTCTGCCTGGAGTCTTGCAGTGTCCTGCAATGTCTGCTGGAGTCTTGCAGTGTCTGCAATGTCTGCCTGGAGTCTTGCAGTGTCTGCGAATGTCTGCTGGAGCCTTGCAGTGTCTGCAAATGATCTGCCTGGAGGTCTTGCGTGTCCTGCCAATGTCTACCTGGAGCCTTGCAGTGTCTGCAATGTCGGCCTGGAGCCTTGCAGTGGTCCCTGCAATGTCCTACCTGGAGCCTTGCAGTGTCTGCATTGTCTACTGGAGCCCTTGCAGTGTCTGCAATGTCTGCCTGGAGCCTTGCAGTGTCTGCATGTCTGCCCTGGAGTCTTGCATGTCTGCAATGTCTACCTGGAGCCTTGCAGTGTCTGCAATGTCCTGCCTGGAGCCTTGCAGTGTCTGCCATGGGCCTAACCTGGAGCCTTGCAGTGTCCTGCATTGTCTGCCTGGAGCCTGCAGTGTCTGCAATGAGTCTTGCTGGAGGCCTTGCAGTGTCCTGCAATGTCTGCCTGGAGCCTTGCATGTCTGCAATGTCTGCTCTGAGCCTTGCATGTCTGCAATGTCTGCACTGGAGCCTTGCAGTGTCTGCAATGTCTGCCTGGAGCCCCTTGCAGTGTCTGAAATGTTTGCCTGGAGCCTTGCAGTGTCCCTGCAATGTCTACCTGGAGCCTTGCAGTGATGCAATTCTCCTGGAGCCTTGCAGTGCCTGCAATTTTGCCATGGAGCGTTGGCAGTGTCCTGCAATGTCTGCCTGGAGCCTGGAAGCTGTCTGCAATGTCTACCTGGAGCCTTGCAATGTCCTGCCCTGGAGGCCTTGCTGTGTCGCAATGTCTAACCTGGAGACTTGCATTGTCTGCAATGTCTACCTGAGCCATTGCAGTGTCTGCAATGTCTACTGGAGCCTTGCTGTGTCCTGCAATGTCTGCCTGAGCCTTGCCAGTGTCTGCAATGTCTACTGGAGCCTTGCAGTGTCGGCAAATGTCTGCCTGGACCTTGCAGTGGTCCGCATGTTGCCTGGAGCCTTGGCAGAGTCTGCAAATGTCCTACCTGGAGCCTTGCAGTGTCCTGCAATGTCTGCCTGGAGCCTGCAGTGTCTGCAATGAGGAAAGACACGTCCATGGCAGATTCGGGTGTCATCTGCAAGGAAGACACGGTGGCAGTGGCTGACCACCCTTGTCTATGTCTGAACCAGCAAAACACCTCTACCAATCCCGACCGTCAAACCACACAACAAACTACCAATCCCTACCGTCAAACCAGCATAACACACTAACAAATCCCTACCGTCCTAACCAGCAAACACACTACCAAGCACTCTACCGTCAGAACCAGCAAAAACACACTACCAATCTCTACCGTCTGAACAGCAAACCCACTACCAATTTTCCCTACCGGTCCTGAACCAGCAAAACACACTACCAATCGTCTACGTCAGAAACCCAGCAACAACACACTACCAATCCCTACCATCTGAACCAGCAAAAAAACACTACCAATCCCTACGTCAGAACCATCACAACACACAACCAATCCCTACCGTCTGAAACCAGCAAAACTCACTACCGAATCTCTACCGTCTGAACCAAGCAAAACACACACTACCAATCTCTCTACCGTCTGAACCAGCAAAACTCACTACCCAATCTCTACCGTCCTGAACCAGCACAACACACTACCAATCCCTACCGTCAGAAACCAGCTCAGGACACACTACCAATCTCTACCGTCAAACCACACACCACACTAACCCATCCCTACCGTCAGAACCAGCACAACACACTAACCTATCCCTACCGTCACAACCGAGCACATCCACACTACCAATCCCCCTACCTGTCAGAACACACAACACACTAAACCAATCTCTACCGTCAGAACCAGCACAACACACTACCAATCCTACCGGCAGAACCAGCACAACAACACACACCATCCCTACCCTCAGAAAAACCAGCAACAACCACACTACCAATCTCTACCGTCAAACCCGCACAACACACACCATCTCTCAGTCAGAACCAGCACAACACACTACCAATCTCTACCGTCTGAACCACACACAACACACTACAATCCCTACCGTCAGAACCCACACACACTACCAATCCCTACCGTCAGAACCACACAATACTACCATCCCTACACCGTCTGAACCACACACCACACATACCAATCCCACCGTCAGAAAAACGCAGCACAACACACTACCCATCCCTACCGTCAGAACAGCGCAACACACTACAATCCACCGTCAACCAGCACAACACACACTACCATCCCTATCGTCAGAACCAGCACAACCACTCCAATCCCTACACGTCAGAACCAGCACAACACACTACCAATCCCTACTCGTTAGAACCAGCACAACACACTACCAATCCTACCGTCAGAACCAGCACACACTACCATCCTACCGTCAGAACCAGCACAACACACCAATCCCTACCGTCTGAACCACACAACACACTAACCAATCCCTACCGTCAAACCAGCACACACACTACCAATCCCTACCGTTCAGAACCAGCACACACTTCCAATCCCTAACCGTGCAGAACCAGCACAACACACTACAATCCCTACCGTCAGAACCACACAACACACTACCAAGCCCTACCGTCAGAACCCAGCACATCACACTAACCATCCCTACCGTCAGAACCAGCACAACACACTATACTATTCCCCTACCGTCAGAACCAGCACAACACACTACCAATTCCCTAACCATATGAACACAACACCACACTTAACCAATCCCTACCGTCAAACCCAGCACAACACACTACAAAGCCCTACCGTCTGACCAGCACCACACACTACCAATCCACTTACCGTCAGAACCAGCACAACACACCTACCAATCCCTACCGTCTGAACCAGCAACAACACACGACCATCCCTACCGTCAGAACCACACAACACACTACCAATCCCACCGTCTGACCAGCACCACACACTACCAATCCCTACCGTCGAACCAGCACAACCACACTACAAGCACCTACCGTCAGAACCAGTCAACAACACACTACCAATCCCTACCGTCCAGTAACGGCACAACACACTACCAATCCCTACCGCAAAACAAGCACAACCCACTATACATCCCTACCGTCAGACAAGCAAACACACTACCAGATCCCGACCGTCAAACCAGCACAACACACACCAATCCCTACCAGTCAAAACAAGCACAACACACTACCATTCCCTACCGTCAGAACCAGCACAACACACTACCAATCCCTACCGTCAGAACCAGCACAACACACTACCAATCCCTACCGTCAGAACCAGCACAACACACTACCAATCCCTACCGTCAAAACAAGCACAACACACAACCAATCCCCTACCGTCAGAAACAAGCCCCCAACACACGACCAATCCCCTACCGTACAAACCACACAACCACTACCAATCCTACCGCAAAACAAGCACAACACACTAACAATCCCTACCGCAAAACAACTCTACACACGACCAATCCCTACCGTCAGACCAGTCACAACTCAACTACCAATCCCTACCGTCGAACCCAGCACACACACTACCACTCCCTACCGTCAAAAACAGCACAACACACTACCAATCCCTACCGTCAGAACAAGCACAACACACTACCAATCCCTACCGTCAGAACCAGCACAACACACTACCAATCCCTACCGTCAGAACCAGCACAACACACTACCAATCCCTACCGTCTGAACCAGCACAACACACTACCAAGCTCCTACCGTCTGAACCTGCACATACCAGCTACTAAATCCCTACCGTCAGAACAGCACAACACACTACTAATTCCTAACCGTCAGAAACCACACACAACACACTACTAATCCCTAACCGTCAGAACACGCACAACACACTACTAATCCCTTCCGTCAGAACCAGCACAACACACTACTAATATCCCTACGCGTCAGAGACCACACTAACACACTCCTATCCCTCCCGTCAGAACCAGCACAACAACTCTACCAATCCCGACCGTCTGAACCAGCACAACACACTACTAATCCCTACCGTCAGAACCAGCACAACACACTACCAATCCCTACCGTCAGAACCAGCACAACACACTACTAATCCCGTCAACCGTCAAATAACTCCCTAACATACCCACATAAATTACCTCTCTCTCACGTTTTTAATTACCTTACCATTCCACATTATAAAAAAAACAAAAGCCTTTTACATCAAACATAATTACCTAAGCCAATCACCAGCCCTTATTAGCGTCGCCTCTTCTTACAGCCATTTTTAAATGTCTTTTTCTCGCAGAAACACGAAAAATTAAATGCAGGTCGCATTTACCCTTTGATAACAGTGGATTAATATCGTTTAAAAGGCCCAGGGTGCGTGTTTCTATTGAAAATACTCGGGTAATGGAGTAATTATGACGGCCATTTTTCAGAGGATTTGGGAGGGAGGGAGGAGTGGTGACAGGGAGGGAAGGTGGGACAGAGGAAGGGGTGGTGACAGGAGAGAAGGGGTGTGACAGGATGGGGAAGTGTGGTGACAGAGGAAGGGCGGTGACAGGAGGAAGGGGTGGTAAAAGGAGGGAAGGGGTGGGGACAGGAGGGAAGGGTGGTAACAGGAGAGGAGGGCATCGTGACAGGGAGTGGTGGTTAAGGATGGGGAGGGGAGGGGTGTTAGGTAGCGGTGAAAGGACATTTAGGGCAGTGGATAGGAATTTAAGGAGAGATTAATGATTTTTTAAGGGGGAAGGGTAACGGAAAGGGTTGGGGTTTTTGGGAAAGTGTATATGGAAAAGGGAAGGCTTAAGGGGAGATGGAAGAAGGGTAATATACTGAGAGACACTGGTAGTGGGAGTTAACAGGCCATTATTAAACACCACACTGACTTCGAAAAAGCCATCTGAAGACATGCCGTGCATCCTCATTAGGTCCAATTCATGGAACTCCACGTTTGGATCACGACCTTTAACGAACCACTAGAAAGACTAGAAATGGGAGTCATATCCAGCCTTAAAAATCACTGACATGGGGGTCCCACTCCACAAAGGTGGCAGAAATACCAAATAGCCAAGAACTACTGACTGATAGACCTGACGCTCACAATTTGCAAGATCTTTGAGACGAGTTGTTAAGATACTGATCACTGATACGTGGAATCACAAACATTTTGTTTCTAGGACCCATGTCAACAATGGTTTAGAAAAGTCACTCCTGCCTCTCGCAACTACTGGACCAGCACACAACTTGGTCGTGATTGGTCACTCCGATCTCACATCTACTGGACCAGTACTACATGGTCTTGGATGGTCACTCCTGCCTCTACAACTACTGGACGCTTACAACAGGTCTTGGATGGTCACTCCTGCCTCTCACAACTACTGGACCCATTACAACAATGGTCTTGGATGGACACGGTCCTGCCTCTCACAACTACTGACCATACAACATGTCTTGGGATGGCACTCCTGCCTCTCACAACTACTGGACCAGTACAACATGGTCTTGGATGTCACTCCTGCCTCTCACAACTACTGACCAGGACAAACATGGTCTGGAATGTCCACTCCTTGCCCTTCACAACTACTGACCAGATACAACATGGGTCCTTGGATGGTCGCTCCTGCCTCTCACAACTACTGGACCCAAAAAATACAACATGGTCTTGATGGTCACTCAGTCCTACTTCTTCTCACAACTACTGGACCAGTACAACATGGTCTTTGGATGGTCACCGTTCCTGCATCTCACAACTACTGGACCAGTACAACATGGTCTGATGGTCCTCACTGCCTCTCACAACTAGTGGGGGTTGTGTCTTTCTGACCAAACAACATGGGTCTAGGATGGTCCACTCCTGCCTTCTCACAACTACTGGAACCATACAACCTGGTCCTTGATGGTCACTCTCCTGCCTCTCACACTACTGGACCAGTACAACGTTGAGAAATGGAATAACTAGACGAGCCTGGCCCATGGCCGGGCTCAGAGAGTAAATAAACTCTCGAAACTCTTCAAGGGTATATCAGTCACATGATGACCAGCAGCTGGAGTTTTTGGTCATCTGACCGAGGCCTTCCACCGGCTTACCCCTCCATCCCTTTAAAAATTATGACTATATAACAGTCACAGAGCTGAAACACGACTCCAGTAATCAAGCAGGACCTTAATAACACAAGACAGAATACTCCAGTAGTCAAGTAGGACCTTAATAACACAAGATAGAGCTCAACATCACACTGTACAGATTAATCTGGAACTCGGTGCATATACCTGTCTACTTTCGACTAGTAAACGTCTACAACCACGTTGTAACTAGTAACTAGTAACACAAGCAGTAATAAACGGTTGAAACAAGGATCATTCTATGTACGGGTTGTGTATTCTTCCACTCACATTACTGTGCCTTAATTTTAAATACTCTAGGCCTACGGATATAGGCCGCTTACATTTTTCACATCTTATGTTCTACTGTGATGGTCAACTCATCCCTGGGAACAAATTAAACTCGTTGTAATCGTAACAAATATTAAACGAGTGGATGGGTGAGCCAGTGGAAGGCCTCGGTCAGATGACCAAAAGCTCCAGCTGCTGGTTATCATGTGACCTGGAGGCTGACACCTCCAGGGATCCATAGTGTAAACACACACACACACACACACACACACACACACACACACACACACACACACACACACACACACACACACAATAATTATACTGTTAATTTTGTTAATTTATACACATTTCTAGTTTGTATTATTAAAATAATTTAATATGTTAATAATGATTTAACATGTTACAGGTATTTTTGTGTTAGATTATACATGCATATAGTGTGTGTGTGTGTGTGTGTGTGTGTGTGTGTGTGTGTGTGTGTGTGTCCATGCACCTGACACTTACCTGTGACCCCCTACGAGAGGTCACACCCTACCCTCGACCGCGAAGCCAGGCCAGGCCAGGCCAGACCTCACTGATGCCCCGATCAAGCAGCCTGTTGATGCTAGCGGGCCGCAGATCAAACAAGAGTTTTCCAGGACTCACCTGTTTCTCCAGTGGTCACGATGGCAGGTTCCGAAGGTGGTCCCCGACCGATCTTATTCACGGCCAACACATGGAATTCGTACTCAGTGAACGGAGTCAGATCTGCCAACACAAATATACCAAATCAGCAACACTAAAATAGGTATATACATAATTGTAATAGGTATATACATAATTGTAATAGGTATATACATCACTAAAATAGGCATATACATCACGAAAATAGGTATAGACATCACTAAGCATAATCACGAAAATAGGCATATACATCACGAAAATAGGTTTATATATTTTATTTTAAATATATATATATAAAATATATAAAATTATATATATATAAAATATATGTGGTTTGTGTGTGTGTGTGTGCAAATAATCGCAAGACAGGCCCATCTTAACTATGTAGGACAACCCCGGGGGGAGGGAATTCTCCACTCGAGTACTCTCACTTCTCTCAGTGCGTCATCAGGAGCTGTGCAATGTTGCAAGGGAGCAACCAAAGCAGGGAGAGAGGTGTCTCAGAGTAGCGTAGGTGTCACCGTCCACGGTAAGGTAGGTGCCACCGTCCACGGTAAGGTAGGTGCCACCGTCCACGGTAAGGTAGGTGTCACCGTCCACGGTAAGGTAGGTGTCACCGTCCACGGTAAGGTAGGTGTCACCGTCCACGGTAAGGTAGGTGTCCACCGTCCACGGTAAGGTAGGTGCCACCGTCCACGTAAGGTAGGTGCCACCGTCCACGGTAAGGTAGTGCCACCGTCCACGGTAAGGTGGTGTCACCGTCCACGGTAAGGTAGGTGCCACCGTCCACGGTAAGGTAGGTGTCACCGTCCACGGTAAGTAGGTGTCACCGTCCACGGTAAGGTAGGTGCCACCGTCCACGTAAGGTAGGTGTCACCGTCCACGGTAAGGTAGGTGTCACCGTCCACGGTAAGTAGGTGCCACCGTCCACGTAAGGTAGGTGCCACCGTCCACGGTAAAGGTAGGTGTCACCGTCCACGGTAAGGTAGGTGCCACCGTCCACGGTAAGGTAGGTGCCACCGTCCACGGTAAGGTAGGTGCCACCGTCCACGGTAAGGTAGGTGCCACCGTCCACGGTAAGGTAGGTGTCACCGTCCACGGTAAGGTAGGTGTCACCGTCCACGGTAAGGTAGGTGCCACCGTCCACGGTAAGGTAGGTGCCACCGTCCACGGTAAGGTAGGTGTCACCGTCCACGGTAAGGTAGGTGCCACCGTCCACGGTAAGGTAGGTGTCACCGTCCACGGTAAGGTAGGTGTCACCGTCCACGGTAAGGTAGGTGTCACCGTCCACGGTAAGGTAGTGTGCACCGTCCACGGTAAGGTAGGTGCCAGCGTCCACGGTAAGGTAGGTGTCACCGTCCACGGTAAGGTAGGTGCCACCGTCCACGGTAAGGTAGGTGCCACCGTCCACGGTAAGGTAGGTGCCACCGTCCACGGTTAGGTAGGTGCCACCGTCCACGGTAAGGTAGGTGTCACCGTCCACGGTTAGGTAGGTGCCATGTGGTATAGGGTAGCACTCAGTGACATGTGGTACAGGGCAGTGGTAGTCCATTTCGTAAAACGACTACAG